GGGGACGTACCAATGGATCCGGGAAAGTGGCAACAATCGTACCCCAACCCGGACCAAGCCGAACGTAAATTTACACAGTGGTATGCGAAGTACGCGGTATCTCAATACCGAATACTTTTCAACCACGACGAGAGCCTCCCAGTGGTTGAGGAAGAGGCATTGGCGCGAGAGTTTGGATACAGGGGCAAATACAAACTTGTAGGACAAACTTCCGAGGCGTTTTCTGACGCTGAAGATCCGCCCGCAGACGAGGATGAATGGGGCAATCAGGTTGACGAAGAGCACAGATAGGTTGGGCGAATCGTCATAGGGCGGCTGGAGCATAACCGTCCGACAACCGGTGACCATACTTAATGGGGGTCACCATGAAGATAATTTGTGTTTCGGTTATGTAGGGCGTGGGTGAGGGGAACCATTAGAGGTAGGTCTAATGTTTGGTGAGGTAGAGTCCATCGACCGGCTCGGTGCTCGTGCGAGGCCAGGGCCGTCTGGCGCGGTCCTGCGAATTCCTCTGCGCCCCCAGACCTTAGGTCAACCAGGTGAACCGGCACGGACCCTGTTGTGGCTGTAGCACAGGCCCTCATGTAGCAGTAGTTCTACGGGCCTTTATAAACAAGCGGAAAAAAAAAAAAAAAAAAAGAACCCGCCTGAATGCGCAAGTTGCTGTATAACTTCGCCGCAACGAGAAAGCTATCTGGTGTCGAAAGGATGAAGGCCAGGGTGTTTCACTCTGCCAATATGAACGTCGTAGCGAGCGGCCGCATGAGCTCACTCACGGCACTCAGCCCACTCCCCAGACCTCCCGTATATTCTTGACGTGTCTCGACGGATACCAGCACGAGCACATCACAAGACGCATGCGCTCGCGCTGCTTTAGCTCTGCCTCAACAAGCTCTTCATCAGCATCGTTAAATCATAACATTCATCTATGCGTCAGCATACAAAGCTGCTCGACGCGACTGTCAGAAGTATCGGCTCAAATCAAGGTTTGCTCAGGACGGCGGAACGTGACGGCGCACATGCGCTCGCACGAAAGCGTGAGCCCCGCTCGCTGGGGCTCTGAACGGTCGACCGATGCCTTTGGTGGAACCCCCGCGTCCTTGAAGTCCCGGGTGAGAGTCCAAGAAGTGTTTCCATCAGCGATCGGTATTTACTATGGACCTGGGTCCAGCGCTACAGATATAGAGCGTAAGCGCGAGCAGTCTCCGACGTTTGCGCGTCCAGGACTCCAGGATGACTACCTCACTCTCGTTCACCTGACCCCGCAACCGCTGACCTGTCTCTCGTACACTGCGATTCTTTCCAATCATGTTGCGACATCGCCGGAGCTTAGATCGTATGGAGATGAACGGTAACGTAATGCTGTCTCCAACAAACGAGCGGGATGGTGGCGATGATCAAAGGAAGTTTACAGTTGTACGTCTAGTCGCATACATGCTACCATCTTGATGCTGAGCGTGCAACAGCTTCCTATGCGACGATGCATAGGTTTATCATCGACGAAGCACGCGTTTGGCCCGACCGAGATCTCATCGTGAGAACGCGCACGTTGGCTATGCACAGTGGCTGCCTGGACTTGGGGTGAGTCGTAAACTGCTACGTTCTGTCTCGGTAACTAACGGGATTGCTAAGGCAGATTATGTTGAACGCCGCAGCAAGATTACCTGGGCCCAGTTCTGGAAATTTGAACCTCCTGCTCTGCAGTCGCCGATTCATGCCGTCCATACTCCCACCTGCGCCCCACTCGCAGATCTCCGGTGCTTAGCACTGACTGTCCTGAACGTTGCTGTGTCCTTCGCTGCCTACACAAAACCGCAGGCCCTTATCCCTAGTGCGACCGTCACCGCAGGCTCGTACCATCGCTGCCTGCTGTGACGTGTCTGTGACCAATCGGTCACCTCTAGTTCGACTCTCGCCGGTTCAACCCGAATGAGACCTTTTCTGTTTTTTATGTACTACTATTTGCGTCTGCAACTGATCGCGTTTGGGCCGAGTCGCGGCCTCCTCGTCGAGGCTGGACTCGGGGAATACAGCTCTTTCTTCCCTCAACCCTCACTGTCGCGCGACGCCGCGCACGGTGAACGAGGCCTGGAGAGCTGAGAATACTTTCCTATTGAATATCGTCGCGCAAAGCGCGACTCACCCGACTCGAGCGTCCGGTAACCGCGCCCCGAACGCGCGAGCCTGACCGCTTTCTGCTGCACCTTAGATTCCTCTCTTTCGCAGCGTCTCCCGTTCACGAATCGCCCAGAGGACGTTGCCGAGTTCCGACGTGCGTCACATCTGCATAGAAGCCGCGGATGAAGCTGTGGGCTTCCACGGCCAGAATCATGGCGTGCTCTTGCACGTCCACTAACACAAGCCGTAGTATGCCATCTACATCAGCCATACATTCTTCGGGTGCAAGGACGTCCGTTGATTCGTCGCTTTTCGTTCCTCGTGTTGTTCGGGTTTGCGAGTGCTTGGGCTGGCACCGACGGCAACACCTGCGATGGTGCTATCCTGCAGACTAGCCTCAATCGCCATCTCCGGCTCCTCGGTGTCCTACCACGGTGCTTCTGCCTTGCTCCAACATCTCTTAGCGCGTTGAGCATTATTTTTCTCTCGCGCAGACTGTTACGAGTGGTACTCGAGTACGCGTATGACTTCTAGGGCATCAGTTTCGGCCTCGGCGACAGTGCCACTCTCATCGTGACTGCGACAAGATCGGCGTCGGGCGCGGCTGTCATTATGAAAAAAATCAAAGTGCAGATGGTCAAGTAGGGCATCGCGTCGAGTAACGCGCTCTGCGAGCAGGACGCGGAGTGGATCGTCGAAGACCTTGGGCAGGGGCAAGATGGCTCGCTTGCCTCGTCTCCTACACGTAGAACGGTGCCCTGTACGCAACAAGCGTCACATATCTCTAAGAAATTAGTGTATGGTGTCCTATTAGCTGCTTTTCAGCCTACTCATGGATACCAGACACTGGCAAATTCAATTCCCTGCGTCTTATTAAGTACCGCCCGTTATCCGGCCGCTGATGGAAGAAAGGTGGTTTAATCTTTCATAATTAAAGAGGCTCATTCACAAGCCAATTCACGGGCCACGAAAGTGCACGAAAGTGCATGTCGTCCGCGTTGCGTGATAATATTCATGCAGCAGAGAGTCCGAGGGTTAGGGTTTCCGTGCCATCCTATAAGCGCGGGCTGGGTAGCGCTTGCGGGCTGCTCCTTTCGCAGTCACCACCTCCGTTGAGGACCTCCGCCGAGCCCATTGATGATTCTATGTCGCCTGGCTCGGAGTCTCTCTCCCTCTCAGTTCTCGACTTGCTCATGCGCTCTCCTCTCCTCTTTCGCGTCGTACGGACGGACGTCTCATGTTCCGTTCTTAGCCCGAAACGAAGGACTATATAGCTTCGACAGCCGCCACACCCATAGGTACAACAATTCCCTTGCGTTGATACTGCTTAGCGATGCTCAACAGAGCGTCGCAAGGCTCCTGGCCGCCTCCATACAGGACCACGACGTGAAGAGCAGGCAAAGCTGCGTCCCACCGACCACACTGGCAGCATCCACAACAAGCTCCGTCACAGGGACACCAGGACAAGCGTCATCAGATGCCAAGCTAGATGGCGGTATCAACTACTTATGTGCTTTGTCGCGTGGAGACGTCTGAGTACGGATCCCAGAGCTGGCATTTACAAAGCTTGAAGAGCTTAAGACAGAGGGCAGAGCGGAGAAACGGGAACTGCGGCACGAGTAACTCTCGAGAAGGCGAGCGCAGAAGGCGTGCGTATGCTTCATATGCGTATATTCTGTGTAATTGGCATTAACTAGAGATCCAGACCATGAATGCATGCATGACGAGACCCGGACTCCTCCTCCTTCGCGATCTACAAACGAACTTCATACTGCACCGCCGCACAGACCCGGACGATGACTACGCTTACTGCGCTATCCAAACTCAACGTCTTGCCCTCGGCGTGTCTCAGCGCGTGCCAGTCGAAGCTGTGCCTCCGGCGCCGCACCTCAGCGCTGCCCAATCCTTCGTCAGCGTCGTCAGGTCGCAGCGCCCATCACCTACGTCAGCTCATTGAGGTGTTTGACGCGGTCCTCGGTACGTCAGCTCAAAGCAGGACTCGATCGCGCTTCCATATCAATGCAGGATGCAGGAAGATGATTGTATTCCCTCGCCACTTCGAGCGCGGCGTCATCCGTAGCAAGACAAAATTGTCTTGGGCTCTGGGACAGCCCCGTTTGTGGTGGATCCCTCGCGTGCAACTTACGTGTCTTCGAGGTCCGGGGTGGGAGGCGGCTGCGGAAGATATATGGCTGCATGGAGCGTTGACAACTGCTGCCGACTCAAAACCACTGACGATAGCCCGGGAACACTCGCGAAGCACGAACGGTCCTTGTTCTTTCACTGCTCAGGATGGCCGCCCCACATTTGCTAGATGACCTTCCATGGCTTTGGCGCAACCTCATCGCCGGCGCTTATTTGCTATGCTGAACGGCTGTCCGGTAAGCACGTCGCTGGGATTTACAACGATGAGACTAACGTTCTACCAGAAATTTTACGGGGAACTATGTCTCACGATGCGGCGAAGACTATTTAAGCGCCTTGGCGGATGCTAGCGGCGCCTTTGTTCCCTCGCCCTGCCAGGTCTCTAGCTGCGCGACACAGAAAATCTCAGACGTTGCACCGACCTCTTCCCCATCTGCACCGACGCTCGCGTCCAGAGTCTAAATCTCTCAGTTAGCGCAGTCAACGCTGCGGGCTTGTATCACCGTTGCCCGCGGAACTCCGGATTTTGCAGGCTTTGACTTCCTCGGTCGAGAGCTTAATATTCTTCTGCAGATTTTTGAAAGCGTGCTATGCGTTGTTCGTCTCAGCCACGCAGCTCGTCGATGTACAGCGCTCGCTCGCCTCTCATTCTCGCGGGTGACATGCTGGATTTCACGAGAATGCTTTTCTCGTCCGTCCAGATCAAGTATCCATCATGACGCGTTATACCCACGCTTGGACGAAAGGAGGACCCGAAAAGTCCTAAATCCTGCCAACTCGGCGCCGTCGTCGGCGTTCGCAGGGGGGGAGGGGGGGGGGGTTAGTACTATGCCTACATCGTGGGTAGCTCAAAACCGCTCAGGATTCTCTCATGTTCACACCGCTTTCCAGGCTCTCCCAATCGTCATGTTCGTTGACGCACATGTGGCATTCTTGGTTCTTTTCCCGGCAGCGCGTGAAGGTCGCGAAAGGAGCGGTCTGCAAGCGCCACGAAGTTCGCGCCTAAAGACGGCACGTAAACCTTAACCCTACCTGCAAGCTGCCCGCGTGCATGTTTATGCAATGCAGACGACCTGTGCTTTCATAAGCCATTGGTAATCTCGTGCACAGACCTCCTGAATCTTGAGAGGAGTAAACCACCGCTCCGCTATCAGTGGTCTCATGACGGACGATTCTCGATAAGGCTCGGGGAACTGAAACGGCCAATATCTGATAATATGCGGTTCCGCTGACGGAGATCATGCGTGACAATTTCCATATACAGGCTAACAATCAGTTACCACTATAATTTCCTAGAGAAAATGCAATAATTTTACGACATCTATTTCGCATAGGCCACCATTCTACACGTAGGTGATGGTGATGCTCGAGCCCGAAATTGAGGTAGAAGTCAGCACCTCGCCATTCTGCTCAATGTCAAACGTTATCGCGCCCGAGGCATCGACGCTGCCGGTGCTGGTTCCGGCGGAGGCACCGGTAAAGGTGACCGTGCCGAAGTTGGGGAACGGGGCAAGCGAGCCGTCCGACCCCTGCCCGGGGTCCTCGACAATCCATTCCGCGTCCTGCTCGCAAAGCGCGCTGGCCGACGTAATATCCGTTGAGACCGTCTGACCATTGCTGTTGTTGGTAATGACAGCCGTGCCCGATGTCGTGCTTGTCGCGGTTACAGTGAGAGTGACGGTGTCGCCGGAGCTGAAGCTGATCCCAGAGAAGTCGCTCGCGGAGTCGGGATACCACTCGTACCAGCCTGCGCGCGAGAGAGATGAGATCCAGTGAATGAAGGGGTGTTTGGGCAAGGCAAGCGCACCGTAGTATGATACCGAGGAGCCAGAGACGGTGAAATCGACGCCAGTCTGCAGGATAGCGCTACCGCAGGTGTCGCCGTCGATGCCAACCCAAGCACCCGCAGACTCTGTGTCAGAAGACCCTGAGGACTCCTGTGGAGTCGGGACAGTGAAAGTTGCGGTGACGCTCTGGTATGTGCCCTACGCAGAAGCCTGTCAGCGAAAATAAAGCACGCGGACACATGAAGAGAAAACTTGCCGCATCCGCGTTCAAGACGGCGCCGGCCCAGTTCGAGCTGTATTCGATATAGGTATTGTTGGTGATCTTGGGGTGCGACAACCGCAGGCCACTGGCGCGGCGGGCAAGGCGAGAACCACGGCGCTCATTGGAAGAAGGTAGCGCAAAGGCGGTCGCAACGAGGACAGCTTGGACGAAGAGGGCGGAAACGAACATGGTGGCGATCTCGAGCCGAAGAAGCTGTGAGCTGTCTATTAGAGAGGGGCTGGGAACCTAGAGACTGGTAGCAACGGCCGAGCGTGCTCTTATCTCTGTGGTCATGGCAGGAAGGCGTCTGATCATGGCTGCAGGTTGCGGTATTGGAACTACGGCGCCGCGCATAATATCAAGATGTAATATCTTTCGTGCGATGAAACAAGCTGCTCTTGGGGGTTAAACTAGGTTAGTCTGCCTGCGCTAGCCTGTAGTCATGGCTACATCGTGTGGGTCTACAAGATTTTGTCAGTGACCCGCGTGTGAAATCTACTCTGCCTATACTAAAACTCACTTCCATGCATGGAGCCTGTATGACAAGGTACAACCTCCGCACACGTCCCAGCACCACATGTCTTCTCCAAAATCCCAAATAGCCGGCGGATGCGATGTCCAACAGACGTCGATGTTGGCGAGTGAGAGAGATGTATAGCCCATCGCCGTGATCCTTCAGTCGCGGCGGATGTGGAGCAATACAATAATACGCAGTCATCAACCAGGTCAAAGATGAAGCTATCGGGAGCACCAATTGGAAGACCTTGCACAGCTCATCTCTGGGAAGGTGAGGATAAGCATTGATTGCATCTCCAGACATCTCCGAACAACTGGGATACCGTACCGCCATCCAATTGAACTCACATTCGTGGCACGTGTGGATTCATCTTCGTGCTTCCCAATGTTTCGCCCAGCGTCAGGAGACCACTATCTGCACGCCGCTTGATCACAATGAATAGGTCCGTGTGGTCATGTGCAGACGCGTTCGTGCAAATCGAACGCAGGCTTTGGGAGCATGCCGCTTCCTCACCACCGCCGCTCTCAGCGACAGACAGCTTGCTTGCCGCGAGGCAATCGTTCTGGAGTCGGCCGAACTTCCTTAGCCATGTATTTGTTAATAGACTATGCATTCGAACACCGTCAGCAATGAGGCATGTATATTTGAGTAGGATGCGCACCTGCAAAACTTTCATCCCCTGGGGCCTTCCTTGTCCTTATCATCGCCTCTCTGTTCTGCCCTCAGCTTCTCCGCTCTGCCCTCCGCGCCAAGTTTTTAACTCGATACGTGTGCCCACCCTGAGAACACATCTCGCTCGCCCGCTGCCTTGAGCCGCTTCTCCACGTAGGGCCTTGCCCACTCCGTCGACACATTGCCCTCGCAGATGATGATATACGATGCCTCTGCCCTGACCCTGCTTCGAGTCGGTGAAAAGTCCGACGTAGGGTACAGGGAGTGCGTGCGCGTTGGACTGGGATTTGCCAGGGCGCGCCAGTATGGAGAGGAGGAGTGTAAAGTGTGCGTTGGTTGTCGCGAACGGGTCCTTGCAGTCGCGCGCCGAGACGTTGATGTCAGCAGCAGGATTTTTATCCGTCGCACAGCAATTTGCACGTCCAGAAGATCCAGTGTCCTTCAGCTTCTACCATCGTACATGGATTATTTAATGGGCTCTGGGTCAGGAAAGTATCAATGACGAAGCATGCATGCGTTTGAATAGTACGCGCACCTTGGTCCACTGGCATCCCACTCATGCTTGCAGCTCCATCACTTCGCTTATCTCTGCACGAATCCCCTTGGTCCTCCAGCGGGCGGCGTATTCTGGAGTCTAGGCGAGAGCACAGGCATTTCAGTGTGCACGAACACGCCACGCATGCGCTCTGCCAGCTCCCGGCGGATCTGCGCAACAGCAATGGAGTTGAGATACGCAAGCTCAGGGAGTAGGGTAAAACGCACGTCTTCAACACCTATGCATGTCCTCGTGCCCTGGACGGATGTTGTTGCCCCCGAGGCGACAATAAGCGTCGCGCACCCGAATATCTCCACGCCATTCAGAGTAAAATCGGAGTGGTCTCCTTGTAAATCTGGCTTTAAGAACGGATTAGCCTATTAAAATACCGACAGAGCCGGATGTAGTGACTGCTGGACCTGGTGCGGATGGTGGAATGGCGCTTCAGCGTACTCTGGATGTCGTGGTCCTGTGAAGGCGACAAAGCACTCTGTGGCTCCTTGGAAAGCCTATCCTAGGGTCTTTATCAAACAAGAGTTGTGGCTATTTGCAAGCACAACGGCGGTAAAGGCTAGCTAGCTGTTCATTTCGGGCTGGGATGCCTGAGCCAAAGGCGAAAAATCCGTGCGAGCGGGGACGCAGCACACAAACAGAGACTCGTAGCGGAAAAGATCCTATTATGGATGCTGCTGTTGGGACACCGCCGAACTTAGTCATAGCGCAGGTCGATATCCGGGGACGACGGTGGTGGTGGTTGGGAAAAGAGCAGCCAGACAAACGCCACAAAGCCGGCGCGTGGATGCAGCGCCTACCCTCTGCTTTCAAGCTGCCTTCGGCTGGTCTGATCTAGCTGTTGCCCCTGCGCTGCCCAAACGTTTCCTACGCACCGCTTCCCTACGTGTATGGGCTGCGACAACGCGTTCCCGAGCACTGGCACTCGTGACCACACGGCCAGGTCGCCGCCCGCATCGCCGACGCCGCCGACCGTATCGGACACCATCGCGACGCACGCTGCACATAGCATCTGCCAAATTTCACTCATCAGAGCGCCTCAGTAGTTGAGACCAGTGGTCAACTGCATGAATACTCTGGATACTGACAGCCTCCGTCTGTTCTAGAAGCAATGCTGAGACTGAATATGGCGCCGGTAGCAGTGCTGGACTATTAAGACAGAGAAATTAAGGCTGGGTCGTATCCGCCCCCAGAATATGCCTCAAACTTCCCTGTGTTGTATCTTGTTAATTGCGTACAGTCTCCAAACGAGCTCGAGATGCCTATTATGGGGAACCTGCAAGCTGGACGACTGCCAGTGAATGTTCGACTGTGCGACTCCTCCATATTAATTTATCTTAATAGTATCACTCCGTTTTCCTCTGATTTAACCATTCTAGCTTTTTGTTTATTAATAGTTTAGTTTGGTTGACAGACAGATGGCGGCGCGTGCCACATCTGCCTCTGGAGGAAGCATGGCTTACTACATGCTAACCCTGACAGATGAACTTGAAGAGATGTGGCCGCATTGTATCCGGTGCTCTTCTATCATATGAGATAACGGTTGGCAACTGTCAAATGATAGCTGGTGCGGAGTATTGTTATTGCAGGCTGATCCTGGACGTCATTGTCCATATAATTAGCAGGCGCATGTGCCGTTTTGTCTGCACCAACCCCTGCAACTCAGTACTGGACTAGTACAAGCGACATGGCTCAATCAAACGAAAGCTTACAGCAGGAGCTTCAAATGGGGTGCGGTTCTCTCTCTCCGGAGTATGCATGCTCTGCCGTTGATATGCACCATATGTATCCAGGGTGACATACAGTTGTGTAGCATACTCAATGCTGAGTATGTCAGAGTGATCCAAAGCCCTGGCGGCAGCACTAGGCTGAACGCCTTCCTATTCAGGTCTTGTAGTATACGAATACCTCACAACACTCCACCAAGAAATCAGTGTGGTATGGGGCGGGAAGTTTACTATCACCTCGACGCTGCTGCTCGCCACTCGGGGGACCATGCTTCTTGGCCCGCTTCTTGAGGTTGTACCATCGGAACAAGCATGGTGTGAGTCCGCCAATGCTCAAGAATTGACCTATCTTATAGTACTGCTCTACAGATGTACGCTCTATTCTGTAGAATTTTCTTTCACGAGTCACTTCATCTGCCATAAGGTGCAGACCAGCATACATACTAGCCATACTTGTGTACATGATGGGCACAATCCTGGTCTCATGTGAGTGGTACCCACTCACCTTCTGTTGGATTGCAGGAAGCCGCACTGATATTTACTGTAGTATTCTCCGCTCTGCGTGTGTACGCGCTGTGGCAGGGATCACGGATAAGATATTTCTTCCTTGCTGTCCTACTTGTTCTTGGAGCAGTTCCAGTTGGAACAAATATCGTGCGCTATTCTTTCACAAGTTATGCAGTCGAGTATACTAATTTGAATTCAGTTTCTATTGTCAGGTACTATAGCTGTATATGTGAACACTCTGCAAATTGTTGCATGCTCCGAGGCTATTAACATCTCGCCAAAGCTGAACACAGAGTATGTGCAGAATTCTCGTACCGCTCGATTCTATGCTGACCGCTTTTGTCAGGAGTGAGCCTGCCTTTCTACAGCTTTTTCTCCTAATAATTGGGTGCATGTGTGCAGTGCTCTATCTCACTAGATGCAGCTTGATCGCCACCGATATTTTTGTCCTCGTGCTGACGTGGATCAAGTCATTCACCCAGTTTAAGCGGATGCAACAATTTAACCTTGGTCCATCTATCGCGGCTGTGTTGCTCCGAGACGGCAAGCACATCTTCTCTCTTGTCTGTGTCTGATGTTACTCACATGGCGTTCTTCAAGGCACCCTGTATTTTCTGTAAGCTACTAGACGTCACCTTGACGGATTATTCTAATGACTCTGTTTTACCATGAACTTTCAGAGTTCTTCTGGCTATAAACATCCTGGATCTTCTCACATTCTCCGACAGCAACTTTTACACTGTGATTGGCGCCAAGATATACTTCCATTTTGTGTAGTTCTGATTTGATTTTCGATTTTATTGTATACAGGGCACCTACGCAAATATTTTCATCAAATACATGGTAACTATTCCTTGGATCAGAATGTCCATTGACTGAAAATTCTCGTCTGCAGCCCCCTCTACTGGTGCAGCGCTTCATCCTGAACCTCCGCCAGCTCAATCGTACCGCCGGTGAAGATAACTCGGATGCACAGCAATTCTCTCGCCTCTCCATCAGCTTCAGGATGTCTTCTGGTTTCCTCGGGAATATTGGAGAGCTTCTGGAGTACGGCCAATCGGAGCAAGTTGAAGACAATGGTGGCAACGACAGTTGCATGGCAGAAGAGCCACGAGGCGGATTCGAGGAGGGTTCCGTACACCAAGAAGGTCCGTCGTTGGCGTATCGAGACGAACCAACGGAACCCGAAGCCGCTCCAGTGTTACGGCTTGCCGAGCATGCCAGCAAGGAGGGCATCGTCGAATCGCCCGCTTACTCGCGCGGAATGGTAGCTGGGCCGTCTACGGCCGCCCGTTAGGCAAGTACCCCGCTCCTCGCTTTGCCACGGTAGCTTGACGCACCCTCGTTCAAGCAGATTCTGGTACATGACCAGGTCATTATTGCACAACAGTCGATAACTGCCGATTGCTGGGTCGCCTGAGACTGGTGTCGAGGAGGACGACTTTCCTTATTTATCGCGTCACGGTTCACATATGTACCATCGGTCTTAGTCTCGTTCTCGTTGTCAATATCCCGCTACGTTGATTCATTGTTGTAAAATGCACGGCAAAGCCTCTCGTACAAATTTCAAGTCGATGTTCGTTCAGCCGCAGCGTTGGTACTACGCCCATCCCGCACGAGCCCACAAAGTCTGCTTTCTGCACAGACTTTTAGAGTCCCGTGAAATGCACAAGCGAACGGGTCGCTCAATGGCGAAGGCCGGCCACAGGAGTAGTCTGCATAGATGCTGTGTTAGCACTCACGCCCTGCAGATATAGCGGGGAGAATCGCACGGTACATTCTGTTAATGACTGCAGGCGTAAGCTCAAGTGTTCACCTGTGCCTGTAAATCCAATGAAGTACTAAGCCGTCACAGAAAAGAAGGGTGCGCTCTTACCATTAGAGATGGTGCCGTCGTAGTTGAAATGGCTTCCCTTGTGATCCTGGACATGACTGTAGTTTCTGAGATGTCCGTACGATGCGAGAGAGCAGAGAGCAACACGTACGGGAAGGGCCGTATCCGGCGCTGTAGAAGCTGCGACTTCGGCGGCGTCGAGTGGTAGACGGATAAGGTGACGGTAGAAGTTGATGTCGAGGCGGTGGTTACTAAGGAGCAGATATCATAAAAACCCGCGCCTTGAAGATGATCACCACGAGAGGTCGACCGCGAAGACGACGCCCGCACGAAAGGAGGCGGGCGCAAGGCCGAGGTGCAGCGCTGGTAGCACAATATCCCAGGGTGTCGAGCACGAAGAGACCGATGGCGAACGCGTCAATTATCGCTCCTGCGCCCTCAAGTGAAGCATAGAGAGCACGTGTAGGGCCGTACAAAGCAGTAGCAAGCACGCAGGAGGACGTCAAATTTTGGCCAAGGAAGTCGAGAACGCCATCCGCAGATTCCATGTAGGCAATGATGGCACTGGTGTGCAGCAATGGCTAGACCTAGCGAGGCAGTTGGACTAGGGAATCATGAGTTGACATGGACAGCAGGTAGGGACGAGGTAACGTACGAGTCGGCCTGCAGTGAACACCAGAAGGTTGTTAGTGTGAGCAAGCGGAGGCGCGGCCAGCGTTTGTGGACTAGGAGGCTGTCAACCACTGAGCTCACGATCTCTGCTGCGGAGTTGGGCATAGCCTCCTAGCATCATTGTCGGTTACACTGCCGGCAGTTTGCGACTTACCCCGAGCGTAGATAGCTGTTGTGCACGTCACCATGCGCATTTTCATGATGTGGTCCACGTGGACTTAGTTACACCGAGCCCGAGCTGTGTCGGCGATGAAATCTTTCGTAGGTACGGCAGCTGTTGCGCTCTGAGGACCGCATATATACCAAATAGACGTACAACAGTAGGTCCACTACGCCCATCACCGCCACCTTGTTCGTTCCTTGGCGCGAAGATCAGGCTGCTGTCGACCTCGGTGTGATCTAGGCCCTGGCGTTTCAACAGGACTAACTAAACCTGCGGCGGATGCCAGACAGATACAGTTGCGGGACCAGATGAACAAAGGTGAGGTAGTAATCGTGGACAGCGCGAAGACCAGGAACCGCTCGCGTTCGAACTTGTCGTCCATGACTCTAGATCTGTGCCGAGGGGCAAGATGGCAGCTAAAAGTACCTCCTGAGCAATTATACTCTTGCCCAGGACTTCAAGAACGTGTAGGTTTCACAGGAGGGAAATGTCGACGACTAGATGTGTTTCAGAGCTTCAGCGAGCGGAGCTTGCGCTTTCGTGCGAGCACATACGTGCCACCCCGCTCTGCCGGCACTTTGTATCCCGCGTCGTCTGTGACAACAGCGAGTTCGGGCAGCTTGGTGCGCTGGCGGGTGGCTAAATTCTGCGACTCAGCGAGGCTGGTGAAGGGTTCGACGAGGCTGAGCTAAAGCAGCGCGAGCGCATGACAGTCGCAGTTCTGTCGTGGCACCCATATCCTCATAATGTCTTTTTCATGTCCCGGTGTGGTGGTGCGGGGCGAATACATAGGTATTCAGGTGCGCGAGCACGCGCCAGTATGCTCTGCAAACCTCTGGGCCTACAGAAAACTAGGCGTGAGCTTCATAGGCCCGCGTGTTAAGGGATAAACGCACGTTTTCAATACCCATGTATGTCTGCGCCTGAGGTGATGATCGACATTCAACTGTCTGTTCGAACGTCTTCGCGCATATGTGTCTGGCTTAGCCTGCGGTACATGCATGTTTCACTGTTCTGCTGGCAAAACTGAACGTGGGAGCTGTTGATACAAATAGTGGGACGGTGGTTTCGGCTCGCTCCGATGGATGTCGTGGTCCTGCGCAAGGCGACGAGGCACTTCATAGCGTCGGAAGACAAAGACCTAGCAACGAAAAGATTATAATGAGGACACTACAAGTGTCGAGTTATCATCAGACTTGGCAAAGGCGCAAGTCGACATCCGGCACGATGAAGAACGGAGAACGGACGAATTGACTGCGCTATAGCTCAGGTAAAATGTATCTCGCCGACCCAATTCCGCAGATCTTTCCCGAAATCATGATGCATCAATAGCGATCTTTTCTCTCACAAGCCTCGTTTGGGCATCGTGATGTGCATCACGACACGAAATTTTCCTGATGAGGCCCTCACTTTGCCTCATAAGGCGGTTTTGATACGATTTTAATGCAATCTTAGGCGTCTACCTCGACGGAAATTTTGCAACACAGATAAGGTCAAATAAGGCCAGAGAAAAAGCGCCGGAATGTCACGTGAATGCAGCGCCCGCCTAGGCTGCTGAGTTGCCCTTGGGCCTTGACTCGCTCAGGACGCAAACGATTGCTACACACCGCTTCCCTGCAACATTATTGCGAGCCGCAACTGTGCGTTCCTGAATTTTGGTACCCAGTGCTTCACGAACAAGTTGCAGCTTGCAGCCGGTTGCACAAATAGTCTGGAGACAGGGCGCGCCAGACGGCGAGCCTCCGTTTGTTCCAGGAGTAGTGTTGAGACGTTGAGGCTTGATGCGGCTAGTGAGGCAGAGATGATTGATGCCGGGTCGTGATGATGCCTCCACCCCGCAAATATGCCTCATTGTTTCTGTCATACCCCTTTATTCGCGTGCAATCGCTCAATGTTGGCCATTGAGCGAAGCCAGCAAGCCAAATGACCGAAGCCTGAATTGAGCTACAGTTCAGAGATGCTTGCTCACAGCTGCGTATTCTGTGATCCGCCTGTAGTCTTATTTTGTGTTCGAGTTCCCGTGAGTTCTCCTAGATCTCTGAGCCTTGCTAACTTGAAGCTGTTTCTTCGATAGATTTCTGTCGCATGGCCCAATATCTGTTTACAGGGGAAAGATGGCTTACTCGTCCACCCCGAGTGACGCATTCTTCCAAAATCTTACGGCAGTCATTGGTGACACTAATAATCACAATGCACCGATATTGGCTAGAGAGCGCATCACGACTGGCGCGCCCAACTGTCATAACAAGTAGCAACTGTCAAATGATAGCTCTAAGCTGATACATGGTATTTTCACTCCGAGCCGGTTCTAGAGGCAGCAGCTATATAAAATGCAGGCGAGTGTGCGGTTAGGTCTGCATCGGCTGACGTGGACCTTCTTCGAGTCAGCACACTACAGGCGACATGGCTCAGTCAAACGAAGATACGCAGCAGGAGCTTTCATCTGCGTATGGGTTTTCTTCCCTCGGACTATGCGTACTCTGCCACTGACGCATACTATATGTACCTAGGTTGACAAGCGACTATGTGGCATACTCGGTGCTGTGTATGCTATGACGTCCCAAAGCCCTGGAGGCACTGGGCTGAGCAACTTTCTTTTCAGGCCTTGTAATTTACGAATACGGCGTAACGCTTGACCAAGAGATCTCCGCGGTGTGGAGAAGGAAGTTTACAGTCACGTCGGTGCTGTTACTCACCACTCGGTGGCTCATGATCCTCGGCCCGATTCTTAATGCTACGGCCTCGGAACAAGCACAGTGTGAGTCCGCTAATGCTCAAAGATATCGGTAGACTGACCTTACAGCACTGCTCTACAGGCGTACACTCCGTTTCATAGATTTGTCTCTCACAAGTTACCGCATTCATCACAAGGTGCAAATCGGCTTATATACTGAACATGCTTGTGTACTTGATCGGTACAGCCTTGGTCTCATGTGAGTGGTATCAGCATACTTGCTATTGGGTTACATGTCATTGAAATGATCTTCTAATAGTATTCTCTGCTCTGCGTGTGTACGCACTCTGGCAGGGATCACGGATGAAATATGTCTTTCTCGCCGTTGTACTGATACTCGGAGTAGTTCCGGTTGGAACAAACGTTGTACGTCATTCTTTCACGAGTTGTGCGAACCTCTTATACTGATTCAGATTTAGTTCCTATGGGCACGTACTGTACTCGGATACGTGGACACTCCACTGATCGTTGGATGCACTGTGGTTGTCAATATCCTGCCGAAGCTAAACACAGAGTATGCACAGACTTGTTATATCAGTTGTCCCTATGCTAACTGCTCATTTAGGAGTGAGTCTGTCTTGCTCAGGCTCCTATTCTTAATCGCCGTGTACATGCCTCTAGTGCTCTATTTTACGAGATGCAGCTTGATTGCCGCGGACGTCATCGTCCTCTTGCTGACATGGATCAAGTCGTTCAGACACTTCAAGGAGATGCGGCAGCTAAAGCTTGGCTTGTCTATATCAGCTGTGCTGCTCCGAGACGACAAGTACATGTCTCTTTCTCACGCGTGAACGACATGGCTTACGCGTCGTCTCTCTAGGTACCCTGTACTTTCTGTAAGCTGCTAGTAGGCACTAGGACTCTTCCTAACGACTTCATCTGAAACATGAACTCTCAGCGCCCTTCTAGCTATAAGCATCCTAGAACTCCTCACATTCTCTCAGACCAGTGTCACGGGGGTGATCAGTGCCAGAACATACTTATCCTAGATATTTCTGACTTTCCGTCTATAGGGCAATTATGCAGACGCCTTCATTCAATACATGGTATATATCTCACAAGTCAGGATGGCAGCGATGTCAATTGACCAAGCATTCTTGTTTACAGCCCCTTCTGCTGGTGCAGCGCTTCATCCTCAATCTCCGTCAGCTCAACCGCACCACCTACGAAAGCAACTCAGATGCCCAGCACTTTTCCCGCTTCTCTGCCAGCTTCCGGGTGCCCTCTGATTTCCTCGGGAACATCGGAGAGCCTCTCGGCCATGGCCAATCAGAGAGAGATAAGAACAATGGTGACGACGACAGCTGTGTGGCAGAAGAGTCCCGGGAGGGGCACGAGGAGGATTTCGCACACCTAGCGGGCCCAACGTCTGCATATCGGGACGAGACAATCGAAGCCGACGCCGCTCTAGCGTTGCGGTCCGCCGAATGTGCAAGCGAAGGGGATGTCATCGGCTCGTTAGTTTTCTCGGGCCAAATGGGGGTTGGATCTTCCACAGCTATCTGATAGACAAACACCCCGCCCCATGCCTCGCCACGGCGGCTCGACGTACCCTCATTCAAACAGATTCCAATGTATGGCCAACCCACGAGTTCGAGTGCATGATAGTCAATAGTTACGAGTTATTAAGCTGCTTAACGCCGGCGTCGTAGCCATTGGTATTTATCGCGTCCCAATTCGCGTATGTACTGGTATCTATCTCGATCTCACCCAAGACTTCGAAGACACGTACGTTATACGCGAGTGATCAATCAAGGACAACGCTGTTTCAAAGCTTGAGGCAGTTTGTCTTATCCCGAATGCGCCGCATTTGAAGTGGCGAGGGAATACGAATCAAATCACCAATTAATATGGAAGCACAATCGTAAGCGAGTAAGTCCCGCTTCGAGTTAACATGGTTGACGACAGCGCCGAGCAACCCAGTGGACTGGTGTAAAAAGTGGGGGCGCTGCGCCCTGATGACGCGAAGGTGGTGTCGTCTTCCAGCAGATCGCGTATCCGTGATCGTAGCACGATCATTTCAGTTCTCGCGAACACGGCCATGCGCTCTGAGAATCGTTCTTCCTGCACAAAGGATAGAGATGAGGTACAGTAACTCACAGAGAGGGGGAAAACACACGCCTCTGACAGCTAAGCATGGCCTAGCTTGCCGCATGGACGTCGCTGCCCTGTCATGATGACGACCGTCGCGTACCCTGACGTCTCTGCACAGTACAGCATACGGCTGAGATATCCATCTGGCTCGCCTTTCAAGAACTCCTGTTCTAGTGTCCTTCCGACGGAACCTGGTGTGAACGCTGCCGGTATAAGAGGGAGACGAGGCTTTGCCTTATCCCAATGTCGTGGGCCCATACGGAGGCGGCGAGGGGTCTTGCAGCGCTCTGTTGAGAATCGATAAGTGGGATCTACGCAAGAGATATATTGTAACGGCGGGTGTGGTGGCTATCAGAGCTACTGTATCTAGTCCTTCATTTCGCGTTAGGAGACGCCCATAAGACGTGAAAGAGAGAGGAGCGAGTGTGATGAAGTCCAAAATTCGGCGTAAGCGAAGCTCCAAGCCAGTAGACGTATATTTATTTATGAGTTTGGCGGCAGCGGACGTCGATATGCGGCTCAACGGTGGTAGTGGAGCAGCCTCCGGACGCCACGATGCCCGCGCCTATAAGACGGCACGAAAACCCTAACCCTTGGACTCTCTGCCTCCGCGTACGTCATGCAAACGACCTACGCTTTCGTGCCCCGTTGCTAGACTCACAAAGCAGCCTCTTAAATGATGGAAGGAATAAACCATCGCTCCTCCATTGGTAGCTAGATGACAGGCGACTTTCGGTAAGGTGCATGCAGGGACTCAGAGTCAAGGATGATAGTCGGTTCCGCTGACAAAGAACATGCGGGACAATATCCACGTACAGACTAACAAGCAGTTGCTAATGTATTGTGCTCTAAATTGCTAGAGATATACAATGATTTTACGACGTCTATTTCGCATAGAGCGTCACTCTACGTGTGGGTGACGGTGACGCTCGAGCCTGAAATTGACGCGGAAGTCAAAACCCTGCCTTTCTGCTTTAATGTCAACCGTTTTCGCGTTCAAGAGGCAAACGCCGCTGTTGCCGGCGCTAGCACCGTGTCGAAGTCGTGGAAGGGAGCGAAAGAGCCGTTCAACCCCTGCCCTGGGTCCTCAACGATCCGATTTCCAGGCAACTGACGGATGCGATGGCGGACAGAAAGTGATGCTAGCGGGCGACAGGGACGCACATCCCACCATTTTGATCTATCAACCGCGGCGGATGAGGAGGAGTGCAGCGATACAGGCCATCGACCGGATCAAGGATGAAGCTATCGGGAGCACCGATTGGAACAACTTGCGCAGGTTGAAGGCTATCGCATGAAGAGGCTATCCGGTCTTCGCTGCCGCGCCGTGCATGTTGGCGCGTCCGCCTACACTGCCCGTCTCTGCGAAGACTAGGGGAAGCATGATTACATCGCCGAGAAGTCTGGGTTTATCTGTCGATGTGTACTGCACCAGGCACCACCGAATAACTGGGGCTTCGCGATCCAACTCGTATCCAAGTCAGGCGTTGATTCATCTTCGCGCCCAGATCTCTCGCTTTGCGTTGGGAGACCTTTGTTCGCGCGCCTTCCTGTCCACACGGGGCCGAACGATAGGCCGGTGAGACTTATATTTCGCCTCGAGCTAATGTGGATGACGATAGCGTCCGGTAGTCTGATGGGTTCACGTGCGAATAAGCACCGCCTTGGCGACGCCGACTTAATGCTCGACGGCTGAGAATGAATAGGACTGTGTGGTTGCACGCAGAGGCGTTCGTGCCGACTAAACGCAGGCTTGGAGCATGCCGCTTCGACATCGCCGCCACCCTCAACGACAGGCACCTTGCTTGCCATAGAGCAGTCGTTCTGATTGAGCTACTTCGTCCTGCGTTGATTAATGAACTCTGCATCTGAACACCATTAGCAACGGAGCTGTGTATACCTTTGAGTAGGATGCGCACCTGCGGAGCTTTTGTCCTCTGGGGCTTTCCATGCACGCACCACCGCCTCTTCTCTGCCCTTAGCGAAGCGCCATCATAGCCAAGCGAGTCCTGCGTCGATTCGATATGCCCGACGACGTTCGTGCTGAGCAACTCAGCGGACTGGTACGTGGAGCGCTGCAATTTGATGACGCTCAAAAGCGGTTACACGACAGTTGGATGTGTCGGGAGCAAGATGAAGAGTCTGAGGAGCGCATCCGGCGTGGTCGTGACGCTCATTTCGACGTAGAGCAGTGCTTTAAGGTGCGCTACTACCCCTGGCAGACGCAGTTGTTGCGGAGTAGCCACAAAAGAGCATGTTCGTCCAGGTATACTAGAGTCGCTGAGGTTTAGTCATCTGTGTATTCGTGAGTTCTGCCGCTCAACGTCAATATCGGGGCATGTATGCGTCTGCGTAGTGTACGTACCTGTGAAGGCTTTCTCTTTATAGGTCACTTGTGCCCGCGTTTCCGCTCCAACTCCCTGAGTGTCGACCGCGCCCAGCCTAGAACTCATCCCGCTCCCGACCTGATTCCCTGCGCCAGACTCAACCCGCCTAGTTTTTACAATGCCCTCGACATGGTGCCGCCTCCTCGTCGGGATAGTGGGCGTCGCGTCCTTCAACGCCTTCGTGACGTGTGATGCGAAGTTGAAGTCGCCTTCTGGTCTGGCTTTGATGCTTCCAGTTATGCTACGACCTGGGTAACGTCGAGCGATAGACGGACTTGGCGGCAGCAAAGATTGGCATGCTGGTCGATGGTGACCGTTAAGGAACAACTTGCGGACGCCATAAAACCCGCGCCTGCCAGAGCTTCCCACAGACAACTCAAAGCCTTGACACGAGTACTGCGCTTTCGTCTCACCTTTAACGTCCTCCGCCATTGGAATTTCGAAACGATGCATGATGGCTCTGCAATGGGGCAGAGCAGCGCACAAGGCTTAGGGTGCCCCCCTCCCTAGAAGTCGTTCGTGACGCTTCCGTTTCCTTTGAGCCGGTCCCTCAATTTCAGAAGTGGGATGATGCGTGCAATCAGCGTGTTCGAGTGAGCTTGCAATACAGCTTCTCAGCAATCGGCTCGGGACACGCTGCGTGAAGAACAGGAGAATAAGCTGACAAAGGCAGATCCAGGGTGTGTTAAATGTTACTATGTACATTATTACAGGAAGTGGAGAGGCATGGCTCCCCCGCGACAACTGTCCCAATGCGAGCCACAAAAATGAAGATAGCTTTGAAAGAGGAAAAATAACATATTACATAAGCAGAAACGAAAAAGGTAAGTCTGCATGGCGCAGGCTCATTACATGTGCCGTTGGGTCTGTACCCACCAACGTCGATCTTCTCGACATACTACAGTCTACAGGCAACATGGCTCAGTCAACGGGAGAGTTGCAGCAGATACTTTTATCCTTGTACGTGCCTCCTCTCCTTGGAGCATGCGTACTCTGGCACTGACACGCACGGTGTGGGTCTGATTTACCCTCTAAATCGTGTCTTGGATCCCAGTAGAATGGTGGCTGCTGCACTTATCAACCTCATCGGCACGTCGGACAAGCCCCCTCCCGAGCTTGTTGATATCGTCCATTCTCAGAGTCCTACACAGTGGCGCTTAACATTTGAATATAGCAACAGTCAGCTCAGCCAGCAACCTCTCCACACAGTGCCATGAAAAGACTGGCTTCATGCTGTCGAGGCTGCTGCAGCCAATGAGACCCGAGAATTTCAAGCGAGTGGTGGGTGGACCGCCACTGTTGAATGGCCCGGCTCCCTAACTACCGAACCCTCCAGCCTGCCGCGAAGATCTTACAATTTCTTCAAGGTGTTGCCACGCGCGAAGCATGGGCAGTCGCTATACAAGGCGAGCTGCTTGCGGAGTTTCTATGTACGTGAGGGCAAATCTGCGTTAGCTCAGTACTTCCACGGATACTCTTGAACCGCTCGGAGAATTGCACGCTTAGGCGTGGGCTGACTGTTGGAAAAAGAAGGATGGCTTGAACGTGTGATGGATACCAAGGCATAACTTGTGAAAGATTTTAGGATCGTCTCTTGTACCATTAAGGGTTGTTCTATGCCCTGAAATCATGTACCAATATCGAAATTTATCGCCATTTCAGCTCAGGATTCTTATATTGCCACATACGTGAGGGGCGCATGAGACAGACTCGCTATGATTGGCGGCTCTGAAGGGCCACAGGTATCTCGGCCGCACGGTATCTAATGAGTCTATGCTGACGGCTGACTGTGTTTGGCCGTGGAAAGAGTTTTTTTGATATACTACAATTTCTACCAATTTCGGCAATATCGCGATGTCATCAGTATTACCGTTACGAATATAAACACTACGAGACGTTAAAATGGTTCCACGAACGGTCAAACGTATATACGACGGTTGTCGCAACACTGCCGGCACCAGGCCTCGAGCGTGGACTGCACATCAATATACTGGTTTGTCGCGGTAGCACGATATTTTTGTGCACGGTAGCCAACGCGTAAGACGTAGTGAATCCGGAATGAGATCATTGGTTTTGCGCGCACACTCTGAATGCTCCTATTGGACAAAACGGTGATTTCTGTCAAATGAATCTCAGACAAAAATCAAGCCTCAAAGATC